TTTTGATTCCATGTGTCTTCCGAATTGGTCCGCTTTTGAAGTTGTGCTCAAAACCCGCAGGACTCCCCAGGCGACGGTGCGGGTGGGCGGGGGAATTCTGGGAGTTGAAGTCCACACCTCTGAAAGCTGCCAAGTTTGAGAAACACTGGCATTAACAATAGGAAGGGGGATCCACAGAGAGTGTGCCAAGAGATCTTCATTATTTCGGGGAGGGCTCCCTGTACCACAAATTTGGAAGTTGGCTTGGCTGGTTCTCTGTCTTCCTCTACTGGTTTTAAGGAAACATTGCAAGGCCCCACTTGGTCACGCTGAGAAGATAGACAAGGACTCTAGGAAAACAGGATGACGTGCTTTATCCATTCCCAGGCATGGCTTCATTCACCCCCCCGTGCCTAAGGGGGTGGGTAGAATGGGGGTTGAACCCCCTGCCCCCAGTCTTTTGGCCATTAGTGGCTTGGTCAGACAGTGCTTCTATCCATGATGACTTCCTCCCTAAAGAAGCAGTCAATCCAGTCTTGTCCCCTCCATTACCCCACCGGTGTCAGCTCCTTATTAAAGCTGGCCTTATATAATAAGGTGAAGAACGAAAATTCACCTTGCAGGGGCCAAGCAGAAAAAGCAGTTCTCTGTTTCTTCCCCCAGGTTGAGATCGGCAAGTCCGTGCTGGTCTCGGTGCGGGTCCTGGGCCATCACCGCTATGCTTTCCGCAGTAAATACTTCGCCTACATGCAACTTCAGCTGAAAGCCGCCTCCCCGATTGTGAGTCTGACGTAAGTCTTCAGCCTGCAGCCTGCCTCTCACCTTTGCTTGCAGAGCCTTCAGTCTGGTTCCCTGCTCCAACGGGCCCTGGGAACCGGCTGGAGGATTCCTCCAGTCTGGGGGGTTCCTTGCTGCCCAGAGAGGGAGGATGAAGTCCTTCACCCCGGTTCTTGCAGGCTGATGGAGGAGACAGGCGACTACTCCGAAGTCTATGTGCTCCGAGCCGTGGCAGTTGGCCAAACAACTTTAGTGGCCACAGCTTGGGACAAAATGGGAGTCAAATTCATGTCTCCGCCACGGAAGGTGGAGGTAAGGAATTGTAACCCTTCGGCTTGCGAGGGTGACGCTGTTCTGTAGACAGCACTGTCAGAAGCTGCTTGGAAGATACTTCACCGATGTCTTTAAAATCAAGAGTGTTGGGAAACTTGAATTAACGTAGCAAGGCCTGTGAATGTTCCCTTGGTCCATTGGGGTAAAATCAGAACATGCTATGTCTTGCCAGGTGATTTTTTATTTTTTATTTTTTTTACCCAAAACTGACTTGACACTTG